GGTAAAGCGAGACTAAGCTTCGAACAACCAGTGCGATGGTTGCAATTAATGCACACATCTTGCTATACCTTCAAAAGCTTATATCTTCGCTCGCAATGGAGCAATTTGAACGAAATTTTCAATAAATTCATTTTGCATTATGCATTTTCGAACTATTATCTAAATCTTACATAATGTATCTTTAAACTGTCTCAGTCTAAAATAAATTAAGCTACATTATCTGGTTTATATTAAAACTAACTCAGTTTAACCAAGTTCTATTATCAGGACTATATTATATGGCGTTGTATATGTTCTAGGGTTTACTCAGGTTCTCACATGCTATATGTTCTCACATGACAAGGACAGCTGTCTAGTCGTTCGGATGGAACGAAAAACCGAGGTCCCGTGTACACATTGGCGTGCACGTAAAAGATCCCCTTGACAGATGGAATTCGATATACATGTAAGAGTAGGCTGAAGTCCCGCTGTCCTGGCAACATTTGCCTCATACCACACTGTATGGCGTATGCCCGTCTTCATTAGCCCAGTTCGGAGCAGAACAGTAGGACGTTAAACCCCATTTCATTTCATTTCATTTTATATTTTATGGTCATGTTTCTAGAAGAGACAGCGGAGTACACGTTAACTAGTTATGGTGTGAGAGAATGACAGTAAGATTACCCTGAGTAGATTATTGTTTATTTATACATGTAAATACTTTATCCCTCCCCCAACCTCATGTTATTTTTGTTTCTCGATCTATCAAGATTTATTATGAATTAAGATATTGTTTAATATTATTACAGTATCACGATATGTATTAGAATCGTTCCAAGCTAATTTAAATATTGATATGATTTTCATTCCTACTGTACACAAGAATAAACATGAACTCTGAATAAACCCAAACAAACAGCCAATATCAGTTGTCTTTTATTTATTTATTTATTTGTTTGTGTCTGTTAAAGGGCGTGTGGCTCTTTATTTTTGTGGAACCTTGAAATAGACGAAAATGGTTCTAAAAGCACATATTAATATGATTTATATTCAATTTATGAAACAAATATTGTAATTACCGATACTAATCAGTTATATTCGGTGAAATACGTGAACAGTTCAAATTGAACGACAGTTGTTTACGACTGTTAAGTGCATTTTACACGATTTTTAAATTATTATTTTGTCGTTTGTGAATCAGCCTTTATTAGTTACTTCCACATTGTCACCATTGTGTTGTAGGATATGTTTTTATTTGTTCATTACAAAATGGCACTCGAAACCATAGGGTAAACGACTCGTGTACTGATTATAAAATGTTAATTGTGTCTTAAATATTGGATATTAGAATCCTATAGTTTCACGACAAGATAACAACATCAACATTGATTAAAATGGCCTAATATTGAATTCTAATTCGTGTTTTTAATTTCGAATATTATGGAAAATAATGAGTTAGAGACTTAGCTCCTTTAAAAATATGTCAAGAAGTAAATCGTCCTACTGCTGGTCTCTCATTTTATCTCATAAATCATTAATTAGACATTTATTCACATGACATGCCCACAATCACCTCTCTAGGTTATCTTCCCCTTTCGTTATCGTTATTATGCATTTATTGTTAGAATATAGACTTAGATGAACCACCCCCGTACGACACATAAACAGTGCAGTACGCGACGCAGCCCTACTTAGATGAACCAGCCCCTGTACGACCGATAAACAGCGGATGGTGTGGACAAATAGTTTATCGCGTGGTCGATAAATCACGAGATCTGGCATCGAGTCAAGTGGTGTGGTTTACAATAGGGTGGGTTTTCTCCGGGTCCTCCGGTTTCCTCCCACTGATAAAGAACCTTGCGCCATATGTTAGTCCCGAAATGACCTAGTTTGTGTCGAGTGGACGTTAAACCCTAATTATCTCTCACGAGGCCAACTGACTCGCGACAACCCGGGTGTTCACTATTCTATACAAACTACACGACCAATCACAGTGGTGGATACATTCATTCTAAATGCCTAGTCAAGAGAAGAGAGACAGAAAGAGAAAGAGAGAGGTAGAGAGAGAGACAGAAAGAGGAAGAGAGAGGTAGAGAGAGAGACAGAAAGAGGAAGAGAGAGAGAGGTAGAGAGAGAGAGAGAGGTAGAGAGAGAGACAGAAAGAGAAAGAGAGAGGTAGAGAGAGAGACAGAAAGAGAAAGAGAGAGAGCGGTAGAGAGAGAGAGAGAGGTAGAGAGAGAGACAGAAAGAGAAAGCGAGAGAGAGAGAGAGACAGAAAGAGAAAGCGAGAGAGAGAGAGAGAGAGAGAGAGAGAGAAAGAGAGAGGTAGAGAGAGAGAGAGAGAAACAATAACAAAACGACACAACAGTCTGGTCGACGACCACTCCCCGACGATAATCCCATTTAATCCACGGATTAAAGTCGTTAATCGTTTACTATGTTTATTAACTGTCGACTAATCTGATATGAGAGGAGATCAGACAGAACGGCACCAGATTATTTTATATAAATCATGAGTTGATCTTCTACTGGTAGATAAACGGAATGGGGTTTAACGTCCTACTGTTCCACACCAACTGGCCTAATGAAGACGGGATTAACGGAAAGTAATTATAATTAAAAGTAAAATACGTTAATCTGTTTAATATGAAAATAGGGCCAGGCACCGTCGTATGTAAATGATGAAGGGGATGATTATAACGATGGATGATGATGATGATGGTAACGATGACGATGATGATGATGACGACGATGTTGATGTTGAAGATGATAATGATGTTGAAAAAGAAGAAGATGGTGATGATGATGATTGTGTTGATGATGATGTTGTTGAAGTAGATGATGATGAAGATGAAGATACAGATGTTGGTGTTGTTGTTCATGATGATGTTGATGATGATGATATAGGCTATTGCTACGGTCATTGTTATGTGTACCAACGTTTTCTAAGAACAGATAGAACCCGTGAGCTCCTTGTTAACAAATGCGTAGCGGGCCAATCTCAGTTGGGAGTGGGGACGGAGGTGGGGGTTTGGGGCTGAGACAATATGTCCGAAAATATTTTCAGAATGAATCAATCATTAACGAAAAAGAGTTTTCCACAAATGTTATTGCGTGATGTCAAAACGCTAAACCGATTTTATTTTACAATTTTACATTTATATTTCTAGGATATATGGACTCATTCTTCTATTTCGTTTCGTTTTTGCATAATTCAAAATTTTGATCTGTTATAGCGAGTTGTTGGCGTGAGTTGCATGGAACTGTGGGTAACCCACTAGAAACATCAACACTGATCAGTTAGTCAAATGTCTGACGAGACCTCCCACAACAACTGGTCAGATCTTCATGAAGTAGAGGCGATCGAAAGTATAAAAAAAGGCGATCGAAAGTAATAAAAATCGAAAGTAAAATAAAAATCGAAAGTAAAATAAAAATCGAAACGAAATATAGATCTGTATTTTAATAAGATTGACACACCGAGCTATAAATTATTTTATCTTATCACAAGAGGAAGCACGCGATGTGTATTTTAATTAAAATCTTTATAACCTGTTCGTCCAGTCGTACACCGATCTAACTTGTATAATTTATTCAAAGATTATTTGGGTGTGTCGTGAGATATAAATAGAACAATCGTATGACTGTCCTCTGATCAAATAGTCCCAGGTCGAGTTGTTACAGTAGTCATTTAAAGGGGAATTCCCAGATTTCTCCAGACACAACCAAGACGTTTTTCATTGTTTAAAGTTAAAGAATGAAATGAAATGGGGTTTAGCGTCCTACTGTTCACCAACCGGGCTACCGAAGACGGAGAGACGCAAAGTAGTGTACTATTGGGGAAATTTTGTCGGGGCAGCGGCGTTTTCAAATTAAAATGAAATGGGGTTTAACGTCCTACTATTCTGCTCCGACTGGGCTAATGAAGACGGAGCTACGCTCCCGTCTTCCTATCAGACATGCGTATTTGAACTTTAGTCGATATATTATGGAAATGAATAACAGTGACTAGTTTTGTCTGCGATATCACCTCGGTGGAAGCGGACGTAAAATACAACTAACTCACACACACAGTGACTAGTTCTTATTTCCTGACAGAAGCCCAATGTGTAGCTCACCAACCAAAATGTGTCGGGTTCGATCCCGGTGTTGGCGGAGAAAGTCCCTCGGGAATTGCCATGGTGGTTTCCCATTGTCAGCGGTACAATACGGAAGTCCTAATAAGGAAAGTCTTACAGTCGTTCGGGTGGGACTACAAACTGAGGCCCCGTGTGCACGTAAGAGAATCCTTGACATTGGGAATTGGAACTAAGAGTACGTCGTCGTGTAACTTGGTTGATTCCGGTCTTCAGTAACTTGGCTGGTATTTCGCCGAAAATAATCGATTAGAAATTTCAGTCAAAACAGAAAGATTGAAATTAAATCAGTTCATATACATTCATATTACATCATTATATGCGATGTGACCCATATATGTCAATTTCAAGGTCCCAAATATTAGCGATTTACCTCCTTTAACGCGTACACATTAGATAATAAGATGTGTCATTGAGTCAAGTGGCGTTGTGCGATTCCCAGCTGGTATGTTGTCGACTTTCTCCGGTTTTACCCCTCACTGCTAAAGACCCCTATGCGTAAGCGAAATATAGAAATAAAATTGAACTATATGTTAGTCCCGAAATGACCTAGTTTGTGTCTAGTTGTGTGGATGTGAGAAACATGAAGTGAGGATTAAAAGGAGTATCGCTTTAGCATGACAAAGACAACTTTCAATACTAGGAAATGAAATGGAGTTTAATGTCCTATTGTACCGTTCCTACTATGCTAATAAAGATGGCATTCTATACTGTACTAAGAACAAGTAAGGTAAAGTTTTCTAGATCCGGATAGAACACACGGTGTACCGGTGCATACACGTGACTTCGCATTGAACCACACAATCATTAAATCCGCATCCGTTTTAGATTTAATATAGCAGACGACAAATATTACAGTATTCAAATTGAACCACACAATCATTAAATCCGCATCCAGTTTAGATTTAATATAGCAGACGACAAATATTACAGTATTCAAATCTTATTTTATACCGTGTACACTGTAGAAGCTGATGGCGGTGCTAATGGAATATATTTTATTTCGATATGTTTTTTCAGGATTATATTTCCGCAAAATGTAAGAAGTAGAAAATCGGGAAATTTAATTTTTTTTTGATAAACAGACAGATTTCCAGGAATTTTAGACCAAACTTACCGAATCTGGGCCATGATTTGTGAAAATAAATATTGTGTTGTGCGTAAATAAGTTGCTCTTGATATTACCGTGTGTTTATATTTTAAAAATACCCAGTTTGAAAAGTTTGGAAATCAGTTTCATAAATTTAAATTCCAGGTGTAAGAAATCAGGTATTAAAATGTCGTTGTTTAACCGAAAATCAAAAAGTACTGATTCGGTACAAGCTATGACGATGAAATCTCTAGACGACGGATCTAGTGGTAAAGATAATCCTATATTTATTGTTGAGAATTATAGTGAAAATATATCGAACACTTCTGATAGTAGTGGAATTGCCTCCATTGAAGATATTGAATGTACCGGACCAACAGATTCCAACGATGACTCCATTAAACACCAGAACACAGCAGGCGCAGCGCAAGGACCAAACGACACACCGGCACCTCAACTAAAGAAAACATTAACATTGCTAAATTGCGCAGCCATCATGATCGCAGTGACTGGACATTCATCGGTTTTCATTTCACCGACCGCTATTTTAGGTGCTGCTGGTTCTGTAGGCGCTGCCTTGGTTGTGTGGTTAGTTGGGGGATTAATAAACATGGGACTAGCTCTATGTTTCGCTGAGCTTGGAACAATGTTTCAAACGGCTGGTGGACCGTATGCGTTTGTTATGAAAGGTTTAGGACCGTTACCAGGGTTTTTAATAATGTATGGTTATACTGTGTTGATAGCGGGACCGTTCTGGGCGTTTTTAGCGTACACAGCAGCTCTTTACATAGTTAAACCTATATTCCCGGATTGTGAAACAGAAAATGTCGACCTGGGTGTGAAAATATTAGCTGGTTGGATTATGAGTAAGTTTATAAAATAAATACATTTATACCCCCCCCCCCCCCCCCGCCCCGCCCATCCCCACCTTTGGGAGAACGTAGTGTACTGTTGAAATTGGTTGGATTGTCCATCCTTCCATCGGTCCGTTTGTCTGTCCGACAGACCTTTAAGAGCTCAATATTGTGTTTTTAATGGACACTAGGTAGAATGTTGAAACTTGTGTAGATGTTCAATATCTTAATGGAGTTCGATTTCTGATCAGGCTAAATGATATATAAACAATTTGATTTGTTGAGAGTCGGGAACACAGCAACTCTGCTTCTAACTGAAGGGGGGTTGGATGGCCGAATGGTTAGCACGCGCGCTGTATCATACGGTCTGTCATTCAGTCAACTGGCTGGGTTTCGATTCCCCGGTTGTACGTGACAAGGAGTAGGGTCGCCTGTCCAACCTCGCGGGTTTTTCTTCGCGTCCTCCGGTTTCCTCCCACTGCTAAAGACCCCTACGCGCAAGCGAATTATTGAAATAAAATCAAACCATGTTAGTCCCGAAATGACCTAGTTTGTGTCGAGTGGACGTTAAACCCCATTTCTCCCTCTCTCTCGCTTCTAACCGAGGTGGAATGTTCAAACTGGTTGTAGATATTCAGTAAGTAAATGTATTTACGGGGTAAATTAATGTACATTTTCTGCTTAGGCTTAGCCCATGTCAGTAATTTGATCTAAGTTCGACGACGAGAATTCTAATTGTTCCATGCAAAATGATAAATATGCAAGTGGCACCAAGCTCGTCCATAAGAATCAAATATCGCTCGGGCCAATGATCTTTGAGAAAAACAAAATGACGACTGGAAGTCAATGGAAAATATCGGAAGAATTAAATGGCTATAACGTCCGTTAGGATTTTGATTGACTTGAATAATCTATAGCCGAATATGTTTTTTTTTATTAAGACTAATTTTTATGGTCTGGGAGTCCATGTTTGTCTTTTGTCTTTTTGTGCATTTGAGTGAAAAAGAAATAGTTACTTATTTCTGATTCCCCCCCTAATGTGTTTGTGACCAACACCCGTTTAAAAATACGTTTAACGATTTTTCTGGTCGTAAAAAACCCCAAACAAATAGTTACTCTAACATCATTTCTGATTTCATGTAATGTGTTTGTGACCAACGCTTGTTTCTTTTACAGTAACTCTAGTGGCATTGAATTGTGTATATATGAAATATGTTAAAAGAATCCAGACCTTCCTATCCAGTACAAAGATCTTCGCCTTGTTGATAATAGTAATCGGCGGTATATATCAGCTAGCTATAGGAGAAACAGAATATCTCCAGCAGCCTTTCACTGGAACTTCCGAAGAACCTGGAGGAATAGCTATAGCCATCTTTTACTCCATTTTCTCTTATGGCGGATGGTAAGTTCGTCGTTTTGTCAAATTTCATACACGATTTATTTATCTATAAAATGGTCAAAATATTATACCACAGACATGGAATAGAGAGCGAGAGAGAAATGGGGTTTAACGTCCACTCGGCACAAACTAAGTCATTTCGGGACTAACATATGTTTTTTTTAAAATTTTATTTCAATAATTCGCTTGCGCGTAGGGGTCTTTTAGCAGTGGGAGGAAACCGGAGGACCCGGAGAAAACCTACGAGGTTGGACAGGCGACCCTACTCCTTGCCACGTACAACCGGGGATTCGAAACCACGCCAGTTGACTCAATGACAGACTTTATGGTACAGCGCGCACGTACTAACCATTCAGCTCCCCCCCCCCACCCCAGGAAAAACGTATAGTTGTGCAGGTGCGACTTTCTTTCATGCACCAGTCGGACTTACTGAGACAGATATAAACCATGCACCCGCATGACTAACTGAGATATATACTCGCCATGCAGTGTGCCATGAGGGAAATTTAGTACGAACAGTGGCATTTCTGTTCTGCGTCCGCTTCATTGAATTCCAGTTGTGAATTGTTCTATTACCTTCACACGAACAACACCACGATGGATCTTGGGTTTGTTTTTTCCTCCTCAACTAATATCAGGATCGAACTCTCCCCACCTGGTTACTCACTGAGACACACCAGAAACAGAGACTTACAGATACGTGATGTAAGAATTAAATCTGCCTATTGCTGTTTTGAAATCTTATATAAACGATTAATTAGACATTTATCCACTCGACAAGCTTATAATCAACTCTCTCTCTCTCTCTCTGTTGTCATCCGAGGGTCGAGATATAATGGGTATATGAAAACCCGCGAGATTGAAAAATCTAACAACAAAATGGATAACTGAGACTCAGTCTCGGTTGTCCTGTACCGTAAACAGCCATACTTCGCCCAGAATAAAGTAATTTGAATGAAATATTATTCATCATCTATTGTTTCGGTATTAAAAGAACGGTCATCTCTATATCTGAATACTACATGTTTAATAAAGCCATCTCTATTTTTGTTTTCGTATTTTACAGGCAGGTTATGACCAGTTTAACAGAGGAAGTCAAGCAACCAGGAAGGTAAGTTAACTTGCTTCACGTGGTTGTGGGCGGGTCTAACGTGCGCGCGTTAGGTCATAAGGTCTGTGCTCTCATAGGCGTACCGGCTCGATGAATGTTAGGAAGTGCAGAACCTGAAATTGTTTCGGGTTACAGACAGCGGTGCTGGTCGTCTACGAGAGACTACCAGCCAAGCTTACCGTGTGGTGATTTGATAGTGGGAACCTAGCATGCTTCTTAACATGTGTACCAATAAAATATATATCTGAGTAACTTCCCTGTTCCTTGATGAACAAGTATGCTAATAATAATATATAATATAAAGAGGACGATATGTGAAATTGTATCAACGATAAATATATGGTTGGTGTAATTCATTATTTATACATTTAGATCATGACGAGATTTTTATATTATTTAATAACTAGAAGCCTGTAATGAAAGGTGTTTCAATGGTGTCCTCTTACCAAGATACATCTACACATATCAGATATATTTATATATAAACGCGTTTTACTGATATTCCAGTCCATGAATACAAGAACTTCAACGTGACCCTTTATAGCCTACTTTAGGTGACTTACCTAAATCCCAACCAACCAACCAATCGTCTACAGTTCACAACAACTTTATTTGGTTTTAAACAAACAAAAATAGACATATCGTCTGTCTGGCCACATTTAGGGGTTGGGGTGGTCGAATGGTTTAACGTGTGCGCGTTAGGTCATAAGGTCTGTCATTGAGTCAACTGATGTAGTTTTGATTCCCAGCTTGTACGTGACAAAGCTGGTGGTTTTTAACTCAGCCTTCCGCCCGACCCCCATTCTCCGGGATCCCCCCCCCCCCCATATCGCACACTGCTAGGATCCCACCCCTATAATTCGTACTAATATGATTAAATATAATAACAAAATGTTTATTTTATTTTTAGAGATCTGCCCCGTTCTGTGTATATATCGTTTGTAATAGTTATAAGTCAATATATTCTAACTAACGTGGCTTATTTTACAATTTTATCACCAACAGAAGTACTTGGTTCAAATGCTGTAGCTTTAGTAAGTTTACATTTCTTAGTTGCATTAATTCCCCCATTTTAACGCAATCATCGGCAATGTTCGGATATTTCCGGAGGCGAAAACGGATGACTGCTTTATCCTGAAGGATCGCTTTGCCGAGCTAAAATTAAATATTTTACAAGGCGGCTATTTCCCCACAATCGACGCCAGTAGACTGCGGTGGTCTGGGGGGCACTGGACAAGATAGAGAGAGAGAGAGAGAGAGAGAGAGAGAGGGGGTTTAACGTCTACTCGGTCATTTCGGGACTAACACATGGTTTAATTTTATTTCAATAATTCGCTTGCGCGTAGGGGTCTTTAGCAGTGGGAGGAAACCGGAGGACCCGGAGAAAACCCACGAGGTTGGGCAGGCGACCCTACTCCTTGTCACGTACAACCGGGGAATCGAAACCCCGCCAGTTTTCTTATGGTCCTCGCCCCCCCCCTCCAAACTGCTAAAGACCGCTACGCGCAAGCGAATAATTGAAATAAAATTGAACCATATGTTAGTCCCGAAATGACCTAGTTTATTTCGAGTGGACGTTAAACCCCATTTCTTCCTCGTCTCAAATCTAATGATGAATGTCTATTACATGTACGTAAATTTAAAAAACGTTTCCAAGATGCTTATTCAAGTTATCTGTAATATTATACAAGTTATATTTTGTATTTGTGAATATTTCAGTTATTTATACAAAGATTGTATAAACCCATCACGGCTGTTATAGCGGTATTTGTGGCACTAACATCAATTGGTGCTTTAAACGCGTCCATTATGGGACTGCCAAGGTATGTATAATTCATACACCTATAACACCTGCCCAGGTAGACATAAACTATGTGATGTACCTATAACACCTGCCCAGGTAGACATATACTATATGATGCACCTATTACACGAGTTATTCGTGTATAAAGCTATATTATAGCTTGTATAGTTTATAAAAGCAATTATCTCCCTTTAATTGTCCAAGGTGTACTGTTTGTCACGTACTTGGCAAACTGTATGAAAAACTAAACTACTGAGGTTGTGTGAATGAAATGTTGTTTTACCTCCTACTGTTAGACTCCAATTGGGCTAATGACGAAGGGTATACACCATACAGTGTACTATGAGGGCAATTCCTTGGTAAATTTTGGAATCGAACACGGAACCACCAGGTTAACGAACAAACGTCTTACTCACTGAGCCACTGAGGCTCACAGAATATTGTGCATTTTATAAAAATTATTACCACCCCTTTAATGAAGGTACGTCTTACTCAATGTGTCACCGAGGCTCCCATAATTTTGTGCATTTTATAAAAATTATTACCACCCCTTTAATGAAGGTACGTCTTACTCAATGTGTCACCGAGACTCCCATAATTTTGTGCATTTTATGAAAATTATTACCACCCCTTTAATGAAGGTACGTCTTACTCAATGTGTCACCGAGACTCCCAGAATTTTGTGTAGTTTATAAAAATTATAATAATAATAATAATAATAATAAAAGCTTTATTTAATGAGCAACGTATTTAGTTTGTAAAAAAACCCTAATCTTCCATAGGTCCCTTCTAAGCTACAAAGACATATATACATGTAATATCAGGATAAATTCAAAAACGAACCTTGAGTTGGACAATAATGGTGGTATTTGTTATTACAGATTGCTGTTTGCTGGAGCTAGAGTTGGTCATATGCCCGTTATATTGGGAATGATACACATCAAATACAGGACACCATGGCCAGCTACATTTGTAATGGTAAGTGTTTTATGTTTAAAGATACCAGTATTCGTATGTTTAAAGCAGTAGTTCTCAACCTTTTTTTTGCCAACGGCACACCCTTGGAACACATGAAAAAATAGCGGCACACGTTGCGAAATATATATGAAAAATATTTGAATTTTGCAAAATATATAATCATTGTAAGTCAGACGGCATGCAATCGTAGACGGAGCATGACTCAAACTAAATGAAGAAGAACACAGCTATGAACATCAGTAGACACCAGTGAATACTCAATTATGATCACGTGGTTTTTCGCATTTTCTAAGTGTGCCGTTCAAAATTTCGCGACACACGGCACATTGGTTGAGAATCGCTGGTTTAAAGGGACCAGTATTCGTATATAAAAATGGAGAACAGTATTTGGTACAATTTGAGCAAATAAATCAACAACCATGTCGGATTTTTCAAATCAAATCGAAAGAGATCGCGGGTTACGTAAGTCATATAATGGACGCCATTGTTCGCTGCTCTGAGGGAAGAGACAGTTGTGACGTGGTTATCCAATCACTTGTAAATATCTGATTAAAACACAGATCTATTTCGTTTTTTTAATACTTTCGATGACCTCCATTACATGAAGGCCTGATCGGTTGTAGTGGAAGATCACGTCAGGGGTCATACGAGCGGCGTTTGAACCTGTGACGTCAGACAATTTGATTAACCAATCAGCGTTAATGTTTCTAGTGGAATACCTACAGTTCCGCGCACTTAACGCCAAGAACTCACCATAACAGAGTGTTTTATTGAGACACACTGTTGCCCTTGACACCGGTCAGTAACTATTTAATTGTACATGTTATATTTCAGATGGCCTGGTCTCTAGTTATGTTATATGCCGGTGGTCTCGAGACCATGATGCAATATATATCTCTATTTTCTACCATTATGGGAATCGCTGTCGTCACAACTCTACTCGTGCTAAGATATAAACAACGTGATCTTCATAGACCATATAAGGTAAAACACTAACACGTGATCATATGGACCATATAAGGTAAACACGTGATCATCATTGAGCATATAAGGTAAACACGTGATCATCATTGACCATAAAAGGTAAAGTGATATCGCAGACAAGACGTAGGAGAGCCGAAAATTCTTCCTATATATTTAGAATATGATTTAGCAATCAGTTATAAGTTTATCAAACATGACGTATTATATTCTACGATATCGGACTTGGTGGTATCCGAACCACTGGGTCAATAAGCTATTCGGGGCAGTTGTTTTCCCCAGGGCACGAGAAAATGTTTGCTTTTTGTTAAAGTTTGGGATGTGATGTTTATCTCCAACCTCTCGACTAGTATCTAAAGCTCACGTGACTTCTTCAGTGTATTGCCCTACTGCTTCTATATGAATTTGTTTACAAAGCAATGGAACCAGTGGTTCCCTCTATACCCTGATATTGTGGAAGCAGACGATGTGACTAATCACCATGACAACCATATCCTATTGTTTACAGGTGATGTTATTTGTGCCCATACTAGAGCTATTAGTGAATGTGGCGGTATTGGTATTAGGTATATATCAGAGACCTCATCAGATGGGAATAGGTTTAGCTATATTATTTGGTGGTATACCCCTCTATTGGCTTGGTGTCTTGTGGAGAAATAAACCAAAAGAATTTACAGATCTTGTTGGTGAGTACTCCGTTTTAACCATGTTCAAATCTCCAGCCATGCGCCGTGAACAACTTTCGGGATGTTCTAAAACTGGTTCCCTCGTGTTAAACCCGATTCAAATCGCCAGTCATGAGTCGTGAAGAACTTTCAGGATGTTCTAAAGCTGTTCCTCTGGTGCCAAACTGGGTTCAAATCTTCGGATATTCATATTCCTCGCAGTGTTTCGTTTGATTGGTAGTTAAGTCTACTGTTAAACCAGTCACAATTCGGGTCAGGAGTCATCAATCAGAGGCTTGACATCATACACACGACTTCCGGCTTATTATTATTATTTTTTTTTTTATTAATTTCAGAATTTTGGACTGTGACGACCCAGAAACTGTTAGTATTAGTCAAAGGTACCTGAAACAGCCATTCAATAGTTATAATTATATGTACATATACCACATATCGTTTTTTTAATATAATTCCCTGATGTATTCATTGTTGTTTGTTTATTATTAAATTTAACGTCCAATAAATGTTATTATGTTCTCATTATATGTTGATCAGTAATAAAACAGGGAGAGACGGTGGGTAAGGCGCTGGATCGCTAACCCGGAGGTCGCGAGTTCGATCCCGGTGTTAGCCGCGAAAGTTTCCCGCCGGCTTGGTTTCCTCTTGTCAGTGGTGCAGATTGAAGGGCCTGACATGGAAAAACCAAGGTTCCGTGTACACATTGGCATGCACGTAAAAGATCCCTTGACAGATGGAATTCGATATAAGAGTAGGCTGCAGTGCCGCTGTCCGGGCAAAATTTCCCTCATATCACACTATATGGCGTATACCCGTCTTCATTAGTCCAGTATAGGAGCAGAACAGTAGGACGCTAAACCCCATTTCATTTCATTTCTATCAAAGCCACTGATCTCCGTTGTGGAGGGGGGGGGGGTATAATCCATATACAACCTACAATATTGTAAAGCCCAATCTGTAAACCGAATATCCGTCCACCAAAAATGTTCCAAATCCGTTCAGTATTGTATGCTAACATTCAGCAATCTCTACTGTAGTTCAGCTCTGAACGTGGGTCTCATTACACTCGCCCTGTACGTTCACTAACCGTCCTATTGAATCCTCGGCGAAAGAATTTCACTTCCCAGAAAATTTTACTGGGCAACTTTTTACTGTTAAACTGCGAATAATAGTAGAATGTAAGTAAAAAGTTTCCCAGTAAAATTTACAGGGCGAGTGTGAGAGAGAGAGAGAGAGAAATGGGGTTTAACGTCCACTCGACACAAACTAGGTCATTTCGGGACTAACATATGATTTAATTTTATTTACATAATTCGCTTGCGCGTAGGGGTCTTTAGCAGTGGGAGGAAACCGGAGGACCCGGAGAAAACCCACGAGGTTGGACAGGCGACCCTACTCCTTGTCACGTACAACCGGGGATTCGAAACCACGCCAGTCGACTCAATGACAGACTTTATGATACAGCGCGCGCACGCTAACCATTCAGCCAACCAACCCCCCAGAGGGCGAGTGTAATGAGTTCTACATTCAGGGCTGAACTATCTCTACTGATAATATAAATAAACCAGAGCCACCTATAGGTGCTGGATAAAATATTTTGATGGGCCTCCCTTGAATCCGATTGATTCCAAGTCGTGCGATTATTTACCTTGGATAATTTAGGTTCATTTTCTTACTAGCAGAATACCCGGCTTTATCCGTGGCCCAAATTCGACAGGGTCTCAATTCGCCTGGAGGCCTATTTCGCTGAGGGGCCGGAATCACCTAGGGCCAAAAATTCGCCCGGGGTCATGCTGGTTAATTTGATGTCACACGTGAGGGCGGAGGTCGGCTACGAAGCGTTATTCTCCTGGGGCCCAGGCCCAATTCGCCCGGGGTCCAGGCCCAATTCTCCTGGGGCCCGGGGTCCAAATTTGATGGTCTAAAACATTCACAGGCTCTTTAAAATTGTTATTTTGTCTTAAGTATTGGATATCAGTAGCCCAACTTTTTACAGTAAGACAACAACATCAATGTTGATTTAAATTGACCAATAAGTCGTGCATGTAATGGTGAAGACTGTGGATGATATTGAGCTAAAGTGCCTCCTTTAATATTTAGGAGGTCAGGGGCCAAGAAAGCTCCCACGGATTTTCCTTCGGGCTTCCACTTGTCCGTGGGTGCAAGATGTAGCCCATGAAAAGGACCATACAGCGGCTCTGTCAACGTTGTTTTCTTATAACAAACGTATGATCATATTGAATAGCTCGGCTTGTGCAAAAAAAACTGATTCATTTCACATTGTTTGCCTAATCGCTATAGAATTACATAGTATAGTATTTTACATAGTATAATATTTTATGTACGCTTGCTTTGTGAAACGGATGAGCGAGGGTGTATTACCATATAAATAATAATTGATTCATTAATATGTCCACCATTCTGCGTATTATCCATCTAAATATAAACATTATTTATTTTCCCTACAAATATATATGATGGAAAAACAAGGTATTCTAGGATTTATGGTAAATACCATGATGAGACGTATTATATAAATATACACAGACAGGGGCGATGGGAAAACCCATGACAACATCGTCTATGAGACATTGTAACAGTTTTTTTTATTAGAAGACTCGTGATAACATGATGAAATATTAAATACACACAGGCAGGGGCGACTATGAAACCCATGACGTCATCTGTAATATCTATAAATAATCTAAGCTCTAAATTTCCTAGTCCTGAGTTTAAAACTTGTAATTTTTGTTTACATAAAAGGCAAACACCATCTTTGTTAGCCTAGTTCACGTAAAATCTCAGTTCATTTAAAATGTAAACAGATCAGGCTCAGTGTTTACTACAAGCGGATGTACTTTTATATGTACATGATAATTGACTTAATAGGGTATATTTAAAGGGGCATTAGGTAAATAAAATGAAATGAAATGAAATGGGGTTTAACGCCCTACTGTTCTGCCCCTATACTGGGCTAATGAAGACGGGCATACGCCATACAGTGTGCTATGAGGGAAATTTTGCCCGGGCAGCGGCACCATCTCCTACTCTTATATCGAATTCCAACTGCCAAGGGATCTTTTGCGTGCATTCCAATGTATACACGGGACCTTGTCAGCTGTCCTTGTCAGGCCCTCCCTTCTGCATCACTGACAAGTGTAACCACGTCGGAAAATCCATATGAACTTTCTCGGCCAATGCAAGGATCGAACACCCGACCTCCAGGCTAGCGAGCCAGCGCCTTACCCACTTAGTCACCGTGCCTCCCGGCATTATGTAACATTAGACAGTTGACAGTTCTCGCTATAATAGTTGAAAAATAGATAATGAAAACAGAATATGCTGAAAATTTCTGTAAAACTGCTTCACATCTGAACCGTGATATTAGCAATTCAATTTTAGGCTAGTCTCGATCGTCATTGCTACTGTTGGTACGATAATAAATAACATCTCGATTATCCATTTTTACATTAAATCATCCATGACAAAATGTATTCAAATGCTCTAATTAATGTCTAATTAATAGTTGATATAACATTTAAGGTCTAAAGAAAGACATAAAAAGACCTGCAATAGGCAGATGTAACTCTTGCATAATTCCTGTTTAAGGCAGAAAAACTCCATTGTGAACACGAGAGAGAGAGAGAGAGAGAGAGAGAGAAATGGGGTTTAACGTCCACTCGACACAAACTAAGTCATTTCGGGACTAACATATGGTTTAATTTTATTTCAATAATTCGCTTGCGCATAGGGGTCTTTAGCAGTGGGAGGAAACCGGAGGACCCGAACAAAAAAAACCCACGAGGTTGGACAGGCGATCCTACTCTTTGTCACGTACAACCGGGGATTCGAAACTACGCCAGTCGACTCAGTGACAGACTTTATGATACAGCGCGCGCACGCTAACCATTCAGCCCCCCCCCCCCACTGTGAACACAAGCATGCATCCTACCAATCGCCTGATTAAATAGTCCGATATGAAATACTAATTCGTTATAACGAAAATATTAATTAGTTTATACGAAATATTAATTCCTGTTTGTTTAAACAAAAAATAATATATAGGAGTAGTTAAGGTCTCCGTTCATTCCGTAGTCCGTCCATGCCCCCCTCATTAAGACATTGCCACCTAGACGCCTCAAAACGATCTGATGCAAGAGGCCTGTAACAATTTCTGTAAGCTTGACCTGTTTATAATAACAAATTACAAGGTATATAGAACGTAATGTGTCTCGTCTATTGAATACACGATACAACTAGAGCATGACTTCGGGAAAACCCACCACAACAATATTATCTCGTCATATGACCTCGTGTTATTCTCATTTCACATATGAAGGAAAAATACCAAAGTCTGTCACACTGACTTCATAATCATATAAAAATAAAAAATAATACCGATCCGTTTCAAAACATATCTTTTACTATGGAAGAGGCAATAAACTGCAGTTTCAGAAACACTTTATTTTTCTCAAAAACACATTTTTAGCCCTATAAACGATGTTTGCACCAAAATCAATTTCTTGCAACCGCAGTCTATTGCATATTCCATACGTGCTAGGTATTAGTATTCTACGCATCCTGGCAAAAAGATAAACTTTTTGGACCACGGGAACAATGCCCGTTAATCTATTGGCATTTTTTGCGTGTCTGTTAGGGGTAAAGCACCGCACAAACTGTCTGGCGGTGGTCATTCATGATTCCTGTAGTCTGGAAATTAGACAACTTCTGCCAGGGATACTCCACCACTACAAATATCTGGCAACTACCTAGCTCTGTCAGGGGTACCACACCACTAGAAATGTCTGTCAGAGTGTTTTTGTAATACCTGAAGATGGACGGTACACTGCTGTACGATCTTCATGTGTTACACTTTTGAGATAATCTAGCCTAGTTGGGGGAGGGGGTATTGCATTTTGGGCGTGGAATAATAAACACCCCCCATCAGAAACCCGACAGACTTACATTCTGATGATACCAGATATACATACATTGATACCTGCACATAGTAGGGGGGGGGGGGGGGGGTCACGTGGCTAAGTGGGTAAGACGCTGGCTCGCTAGCCTGGAGGTCGGGTGTTCGATCCCTGCATTGGCCGAGAAAGTTCATACAGATTTTCTGGCGTGGTTCCCACTTGTCAGTGATGCAGGACGGAGGGCCTGACAAGGACAGCTGTCTAATCCTTCGGATGAGACGAAAAACCGAGGTCCCGTGTATACATTGGGATGCACGTAAAAGATCCCTTGGCAGTTGGAATTCGATATAAGAGTAGGCAATAGTGCCGCTGCCCGGGCAAAATTTCCCTTATAGCACACTGTATGGCGTATGCCCGTCTTCATTAGCCCAGTATAGGAGCAGAATAGTAGGACGTTAAACCCCATTTCATTTCATTTACCACATAGTACAAAAATGGTATACTTGTCAGC